ACGCATTGGTTCCTAAATACGGACACGATTCAAACAGCCCTCACCCCTATACCGTTAGCGCGAAAAAATATTTTCGGAGAGTGGTAGGTGCGTCTTGACGTGAGGATTCTAGAATCCCCGGCGATTTTTCATATTTCAAAAATTGTAGATGTCACAGGCGTTTTTCCTCAAAAACCGTCCGAATTTAGGGACAATGACTGTAATCAGGAATGCGTTAATGCCCAGGATCACTTCAGGATCGATCCGGCTTGAAAACCGCCGATTGTATGACATGGATATCGGCTTCATATCGTGCCCGCACCACCATTTCTTGCTAGTCTCTTCTCCGATCGAGCGCACAGTATGTCCGTGTGATCAGGGTAGAGTAGCCTTACCCCAGAGTAGCCTTACCCCAGAGTAGCCTTACCCCATACCCCCCCTGCGCTGCGCTGCTGGCGAGTCTCGCGCTAAGGCCGAGGAGTAGAGTGGGCAATAGGTCAGCAAAACAAGTGACGCAGGGCCGCAGGTCTGCTCGGGTCTGCCCTTCTCGCCCTGTCACTAATTGCCTCGACCCAACTGGGCGGGTGACAACGTTATGACATTAACAAACGAGCGGAGAGTATGCTAGTAGTGTAGGAGCGACACGGATTGAACTTGTAAATGAAGCAGGCAACCAGCCAGGCGGGCGAGTGGGAAGGGCGGCGGACAGACTAAGTAGAGACTCAATATACTTACTTATTACTACTACTACAAGGTGGAGGTGGAGGAGTAGGAAGGGCGGCGTGCGGCATACAGACTTGGCGCAGACTTGCTGCTTACCTACAACGACGACTCTCGCATAATCAAATTCCCAGTCCGTTTTTTCTTCTTTTCCCCCTCTCGGCTGCCGAACTAATGCGTCGGGCCGAGTTGTTCACCACATCGCGCTGCCCCTCCCCCTTCCTTTTCACCCCGCCCCGTTCCACCTCGCTCGTGCGATTCGGGGCGAGCTCATCAGTTTTCAAGCACCGTCGTTGGCAGTCTGCAAGCTTTTCGGTCAAGTCAGTCAGGACTACCAACCAGGTGAGAAGGTGGGAAGGGGGGCTGGGGAGGGAGAGAGAGGAGAGAGAGAGAGAGAGAGAGAGAGAGAGAGAGAG